ATTTCAAAATTCTTTTACTGAAGAGCTACTGAGGAAGAAAACCAGCAGTTTTCCTGAAGATCAGTTAAGTCTCCCCTTTTACCAAGGATAACCTTTCCAAATTAAGGTTTAAAAGGCTTACATCACCTGTTCAAGAACAATGTCAATACTGGAAAGCTTACTGAAGCTTCAGCTATTTCCCATGTTGCTTCAAAAAATGCCTGTAATGTTTATCTTTAAAAATACTTACTGCTGGGACACTTAACTTACAAGTCAAACAACAGATTTTACAACAAAAATTAGACGTAGCAATGTCCCTAGTTTCAAAGACACACTGGCAGAAGCACAGCCGTCCTTAGAAACCGACACAACCGAGCAATCAAGTCAGTTAAGTGAACAGTAACTCTAAAATCAGAAGGCATCCCCAGTCCAGACACGGATCACTCATTTACATGATTAATCCACAAAATGAGTCTTCAGTTTCACAATAACTTGAAAGACCATTCATGGAATTTGGCTTCAACCCATCAAGCACCTCTCTGCTCCTTCCGCCCTTCACTCCACATGGCAGTTTCTACCCAGCACATACCTATTAACTACCTGCTACACTGGTACAAGACAGTTAAACACTAATAGAGAGTAAAATACATGATGTACGTATACATAAATTACTTGAAAACCCCGTTTTGTGAAGCCTGATGATAAACCATCCGAGTAATTTAAGCCCATCAAATATCCAAGGGAACCAGACTGCAAAAACCCCAAAATGTATTACTTTGCTTTCACTAGGGAATACTTCGTTTGCTTCTTTCACATTTTTATTTCACGCTTACTCTTTATATTCACACTACAAACAGAGTATAAGGAACTATATTTCAATTAATAATCTGAATAATTTATAGCTCTAATTACTGTAACAATACTGACACATGTCTCGACTTCATTGCGTTGTCAGGTCCTCCATACACTTGATGCTGGCCCTAAGAAAATACCATGGCCAAACCTAGCACAGAGTTAAGTTTGTTAGGACCAGTCACCACCTCACTAGGACACTAATAGAGGTGAGTGTTACAATATCCACAGATGATAAGAAATAAGCTAGTAATTATGACCCTGCAGCTGGTCTTCTACAATGAATAGGTGAGGTCAGGAAGATGTAAATGATCTAAAATCCTTCATTCCTATACATTCATAGTTTCCTATGACAACAGTTCCCAGTTATCTTGGTTGACAAGTTTTTAAACCCTGTGGCTAGCTCAGAAGCACCTAGAGCTCTAAAATTTAACCAATGAAACTATAAAGCAACTAGCAAAAGAAAGAGTGGTAAACCAAGGAAGTATACTTTAAAGAAAACTTGGAAGAATGATTTCTCTCTCTACTGCAAGCAACCAATTTTAATATGGCAAGCTTATATTCAACCACCATCTTTTCACTCCCTATTGACTACAATTTTTAATGACTTTTTATCATGTACAAGCCTGTGGAACTATGTAGTACACAGATGAACATGGAGCACAAAAGTTTTGCCTTTATCCTTTCTACCTCTTGTGGAAAGAAAGGATACTCAAATGAAATGAACTCACCCACTTCAAATTTCCAAGACAGACCAATAAAAAACTGTTTAAGCTATATTCAAGAATGATCTGCTTTACTTCCTTGTAAGCAGAAGTAGAAAAGCTCAGTAGAATAAAGTCCAGAGAACAGTACAACAGAAGATACAATACCACATACTTGAAGGGGCCTAGCAAAAACTGACCTCTACTTGCAACAGCAGCATACTAAAAGGCAGCATAATTACAGAGAAAAGAATCTCATATCCTTGTGAATAGTTTTCTAGAATGTAATTAAAACAGAAAGTGTTGAATAAGCAAAGATTATCCAGTCTAAATGGAGCTACAATACCACCAATATATCTTAGCCTGATTTTCTACATATCTCTATGGATACCAACAGACTATGCTGGTGCCAAGAGGATTCAGTGGTTTTACTTAAAATACAAGCAACGGCCCTTCTTTTTTTATACTTACAAATCAACAGGATAATTCTGGAATTCATTAGTGAAGAACACTAACCAATCCAACATAATAGCTTTACTTCCTCTGCAAAACACTTCAAAAAATATCTAAATGAATATGGAAATGCATCTTTCTGTGGCAAATTGTTCATTATTGAATCATTATCAACTCTTGTTAGACAAAATTTCCCTCTTTTGCAACGTACAAGATCATTAAAATGTTTGAGAGCTCCATCATGAAAGACAGTGGCACTTTATAATACGCTATCTCTTCAGGCAAATATGCTTACGGCTGAACATAATACACAAAATAACAACATCCCCTTGACACACAATTTTTTCTTTTAATGGTGCTCTTAAGTGTTGACAGCAATGGTGAAATATGTTGTTTCTCTTTTTTTTTTTAATAGTTTTTAACTATTTCAGAGATGTATTTCCGTCATGATCAAATGTTGGGAAGGAATGTGTTTCTTAGGTCTTCAGCACGCAACCCCAGATGCTCCATCACTCCTATTAGCCTAGTGAGATACTGCCTATAAGCTCATCAAGTTCATGTTCTTAGCCTCCATCTCCTTTTAACATCACTGACTAATCAACTGATGCACTAAAAATCATCTACAGTAGCTAATAAAATGGATGTTTTCATCCTGTTTATAGGAATGTGTCTCCAATTTGGTATTAGGCAAAAAAATATTACACAGTTTAAGAAACTTAAGAAATCTCATTTTTCTTTTCAACAGCAGATATGAACACAGAGGTACCACGTAGAAAACTACTACTCAATGTTTCTATGTAGCTTTTATCATTATTGTCTTCAAGCTTTCAGCATCAACTTTGGATACACTGCAAAAATTCCTGATGTGAAAGTATGATATACAAAGCTGCATCCTTTACTGTAACATAAGTAAAATGAATATAATTTTTTGTTGTGACAAGCCAAAAACCACAGGTGGAATATTTTTAAAAGCACACTTTTAGAGTTCTAAGGTGTACATTTCTTACAGATATATACTGAAAGCTTTATACAATTCTTTGCTACATATAGAGGGAAATGAAGTACTACTACTCCAACAAAATAAAATCCATAAGAACTGGTAGCCATAAAGCATTACAAAGCTATTTCAGTTCACAACTGTTTTGGGTAAGTAACTGACACACATCTTGCAATTCATTAGTTCTCTCTACAAAACAATCTCAATGAAGGCTTCTTCTCAAATCTATATTAATGATGTAATTTATTATGTCTAATGGAATCACCTAGCCATCTCTTCAACAAAACTGAAAAACTAAGATACAGTTTCTTCAGGTATTTAAAGGCATATATTGTTTAGAAATTGGACAGCTCAAAATAAAAGCATGAACAGTTTACCTTTGGTAATAGAAATAATAAATAAATAAACTTTACTATGTATTTTTGTAAAACAAAGTCAGTGTCACTTACAAAGCCTAGAGCCATTCCATACATGCTACTGATCAAAACACTGGAGAAGCAAGTAAAGGAACTTGTCTTTTTAGTCTGATATATTTAAAAAGAAGACAAAATATTTGAAACCATATTAGGGGGAAGCTCTAATCTGCTTTATCAAAGTAACTAAGGGAAACTACATTTTAGCTTTACTGTCTTCAAATATTAAGTATCATTGACCAATTAACATGTACTCTAAACAAAGACTACAGAGACCTCCATTTTAAATTTACATAGGTTCAGGTTTGTATATGAAGGTTTAAACAAAATTCTGATTTCAGCAATAGCTGTGCTTTGTCTCCTCTATTTCAGAGAAATTAAAGTAGTAAACAAAGACTGAGCAAAGTAGAAAGATTTCCAAAAGAAATTGCAGACCACCAGGATTTGGATTTAGGTAATCCACTTAGATTACCATGGCTATGTCTTAAAAGGACAATACTGCGATCACAAAATAGGTCATGTCTACAGGACACAGAATATACAAGTGAAACAATGCCAAATGCACAAATTCAGAACAAACACTGAGTTATCCCTAAGTTTAAGATTCAAGAAAAATGCCAAGGCCATGTACTGCCAAGCAACAAATATTTTAAAATCAACATTTTTATGCTCTAAACTCAAATAGGAGAAGAGTTTCAAACAACGCCATCAATACATAAACAACGTTTGCCTCGCAAAAGAGGAGTCTGCATTTATTTGTGAGAAATGACAATGTTCCTAATACAACAAATATCAAAGAAATTAGAGAATTAAAAATAAGAGGCAAGACTTCAAATTATTAACTGAAGAAAAGCCTAAAGTAAATTGGTAGGTAATTTGGGAATTGATAGCATTAGGAAGAAATAAATTTTTTTTTAAATGTTCAAAATAAGAATTTCTATAGATGTCTTCTCAGCAAAAGTTAAGGAAAATTCTTAAAATCATTTCAAATTCACAAAAGAAATGTAAAAATCAAATATATCAGCTTTCTAGACTGACTCGAGAAAATCTAGGTCGTTCCTTCTTCTAAAAAGTCCTGGCCAATGCCTTTATGAGGAATTTGCCCAACATAAAAAGATTTCAATAGGGAAGTCAGATTTGCTATGAGAAACAGAGCAACTTCCAGATGCTTGACATGTCAGGCCTAGACGAGGGAATGAAAAATGTCTCTTTCTGACCAAAGAGGCTTTGAGGGGATACTCGTAAAGAATTACCTACTTACCCATCAGATTTGAGTTCATGAAAGGTGTCGGAGACAATCCTTCATGGGGCCCTAATCGACTGTCATTCAAGTGATCACCGTAATGAGGACTGTCTGCAAAACCCTAGAGAAAAAAAAAAGAGACCAGAGTATTAAACAGATTATTTGGCAGCCCTGCTAATTGAGCGTAATGACACTTTCCTAATTAAATGTGTGGAGTCACAATTGGTCATTAATCACAAAAGTTGGCTTTTGGGTCTATCTCACAGACATTACTCCCTGCCCATATTTTACCTTCTCCTCCTCTTTCCTTTCTGCCCCATCAAAAAGAAACCACACTATTTCTTAATAAGCTCTGTCCTCGTGGACAGAAGTTCTAGAAATTCAGTAATACTGAGATATGTTGATATTTGGATCCTCTTAGTGATAAGTTGCTCACCACTGAGAAAATAAAATTAGTCTGGAGAACTCACAACTGATTTCCCCTCTCCCCCCCCCCCCCCCCCCAACTTTCTCCACC